AAACAAACCAACTGTGATTTTAATCCCAAAATACAAACAAGGGGATGGGATAGATGGATGATGCATTGATCATGAAGCCCAGACTCCCCCAAGGTCATGGCCCTCTCTTATAACTGGAGTTTCAGACAGTATGCAGCATTTTGCATTAGATAAACAATAGAGGATTAATCATGTAAGATGCTTGAATGGTTTGTGTACAATTTATGGATGTTTGGAAGGTCCCACAAAATAAATTTGCAGACAACCTGAATTAAAGATGTATTTCACTATTGCCAGTTGAAAGCATAAGAAGAGTGTGTGGATAGGGGAAGGGGGTAGGGGGGCCAGCTGTGTTTCATCTCCACCAAGAAAATAGGTGGAATTTGTTTTTAAATACTAGGATTTGACAAAAAAAAAAAAAAGAACTTTCCATCCAGAAAATGTCATCTAACCCTGAAAGGGTACATGAAAGACATTGCCTCTCTCCATTGGAAAGTCTTAAAAAGACAAATATATTCGCTTGCTGGGTGGGTTATCTCAGAAGGAAAGAGCATATGAAACAACGTGTGAGTCTCTCATAAGGAAGTAGTGGTTCATTTGCCAAGTGGCTATCACTTGATGCCAGTTTTGGATGTGGCTTTCCATTATCTGGTTACTCTTAAACTAGCAACCAACGAGTTTCATGACGAGAAAATAAAAATTAGAATGAGTTCTGCTTTTTTCGAGGTAATTTTCAGATAATTACTCCAATTAAAACTCTTAACTGTATTTTTCTATTAAAATCAATAAAACATTTGACACCAAAATATATTTAGGAAAATAAACATAGCCACAGCCCAAAGAATACTTTGGGAAAGAAGGTGGCTGTGGGAGACTAGACCGGTATATTATTGATACTGAAGTGGATAAATAAATCAAAACAGTAAAAGAAAAACTGGAACTATATCCAACTATTTGTAAGAATGTAATATATGGCAAAGTAAATTCACAGAAGGGAGAAAGGAAGGATTTTTAAAAATAGTGTTAGAATAAATAGATAGCAAGTAAGGAAAAAGTCATTTCGATCCATACCTTCTCCCACATAAAATAATCTTTAGATGAATTTATACATTCATTCAACAAAAACGGAGGGCCAGTTCTATACTGGATATGCAAATATGAAACGCCCAGTTCCTATCCTTAAGGTGCTCACAGTATAATGGAGAGACAGGTCACTAAACAGAAAATTCCAAAACAGCACGATAGGTCGAGGAAAGTTCAAATTGCCCATTCCACTGAGGTTGAAAGGATAATTAGAGATTAGCCAGGCAATAGTAAAGCGGCATTTTAGAGGATAGATGATTCCAAAATTCCAAGTCCTCCATGAGTTGAACACAAAGTATGTGTGTGTTGAGAAGGGTAGATAAGGAAGAAAGGAGGGGGCACAGCAGGAAACTGAAACAAAGGAGAGAGTAAGCAGACAGATCACTAAGAGCCTTTCAGTATATCTTCAAACCTAGGGGGCTACATGCAAGGATTGTAAGACAAGAAAGTGGCATGATCAGATACGTGGTTTAGAGAGCTCACTTCACAGCAATGTGGCAGAAGTTTTCAGCAGAAGACAAGCCATTTGCCAAAGATCAGTTGGGAGGTGACAGTCAAGGGGGAAAGGAGGAGAGTCTGAATTAAAGCAGGGTGGCAGGGAGGGAGAAGGAGAAGGCTGGAGTTATTTAGGGAATAAACTTGATAAGCCTGAATTACCACATCTCTAGCATTTTGATCGGAGCTGGATGGAGGTCCAACTCATCAGAAGAGAGAATTCAGGTGGGAGGTAACTTAGGGGAGTGAAAAGTGATAAATGAATTAAAGGAACTTTTGGGACTTCATCAAGATAAAAAGCTTCTGCACAGCAAAGGAAACAGTCAAAATAACAAAGAGGCAACCCACAGAATGGGAGAAGATATTTGCAAATGACACTACAGATAAAGGGCTGGTATCCATTATCTATATAGAACTTCTCAAACTCAACACCCAAAAAACAAATAATCAAGCAAAAAATGGGCAGAAGACATGAACAGACACTTCTCCAAAGAAGACATACAAATGGCTAATAGACACATGAAAAAATGTTCATCATCATTAGCCATCAGGGAAATTCAAATCAAAACCACACTGAGGGGCGCCTGGGTGGCTCAGTTGGTTAAGCGACTGCCTTCAGCTCAGGTCAAGATCCTGGAGTCCCAGGATCGAGTCCCGCATCGGGCTCCCTACTCGGCGGGGAGTCTGCTTCTCCCTCTGACCCTCCTCCCTCTCGTGCTCTCTGTCTCTCATTCTCTCTCTCTCAAATAAATAAATAAAATCTTTAAAAAAAAAAACCACACTGAGATACCACCTTACATCAGTTAGAATGGCAAAAATTGACAAGACAAGAAATAACAAATGTTGGAGAGGTTGTGGAGAAAGGGGAACCCTCTTACACTGTTGGTGGGAATGCAAGGTGGTTCAGCCACTTTGGAAAACAGTGTGGAGGTGCCTCAGAAAATTAAAAATAGAGCTACCCTATGACCCAGCAATTGCACTACTGGGTATTTCCCCCAAAGACAGCGATGTAGTGAAAAGAAGGGCCATATGCACCCCAATGTTCATAGCAACAATGTCCACAATAGCCAAACTGGGGAAAGAGCTGAGATGCCCTTCAACAGATGAATGGATAAAGAAGATGTGATCCATATATACAATGGAATATTACTAAGCCATCAGAAAAGATGAATACCCAACTTTTACATCAACATGGATGGGACTGGAGGAGATTATGCAAGTGAAATAAGTCAAGCAGAGAAAGTCAATTATCATATGGTTTCACTTATTTGTGGAACATAAGGAATAACATGGAGGACATTAGGAGAAGGAAGGGAAAAATGAAGGGGGGGAATCAGAGGGAGAGATGAACCATGGGAGACTATGGACTCTGAGAAACAAACTGAGGGTTTTAGTGGGGAGGGGGTGAGAGGATGGGTTAGCCTGGTGATGGGTATTAAGGAGGGCGCGTACTGCATGGAGCACTGGGTGTTATACGAAAACAATGAATCATGGAACACTACATCAAAAGCTAATGATGTAATGTATGGTGACTAACATAACATAATAAAATAAAATTAAACAAAAAAAGAAAAGTGATAAATGCAATTTGGGACATTCTGAGTTTGAAAAGCTTGTGAGACAGACATCCAAGGTGAAAGGTCCATTTACAAAATTTATTTTTGTGCATTTGTGAGTCATCCATAATACGAGTGGTAGTGATTTATACATTCTATTTACTTAAAGACAAATATATAATGAATACCTACTATGTTCTGAGCTCTGCTCTAGACTCTGGGGGTACAGCAAAAACCAAAACAGACAAGAGCCCTGCTCCCACAGGTCCCACATTCTAATGGTGTGGGTGGAACAAGGGTGGGGAGACATACAATAATCAGTTATATATGTTAGTCATGATAATAACTGTGAAGAAAAATAAACTAAGAGACTCGGGAGTGACTGAGTAAAATTACAGGGCTGGGACAGGTAGAACTAGGACAGGTAAGGCAAGTGAGGTACTTAGGGTACCAAATGTAAAGAGGCACACATTCTCAGGTACTGACTCTGAACTTACCTTCTTAAATTTTGAGTCCCGCATACCTTGCTTCCTCACCCTAGTCCCAGCCCTAACTGGGTATCTGCTATTTTCTATGGATAGCCACAGAAAGCTTTATTCAAAAGGTGACATTTGACTACAGGACTAAAAAAAGAAACAAGCCAGGTATCCCCATATCTGGGAAAATAACATTCTAAGCAGAGAGAACAGTGTGTGCAAAGGTCTTGAGGCAAGAGGGTACCTAGTATGTTCAAGAAAGATCTCCCAGGGGCCCCTGGGTGGCTCAGTTGTTAAGGGTCTGCCTTTGGCTCAGGTCATGATCCCAGGGTCCTGGGATTGAGCCCCGCATCAGGCTCCTTGCTCAGCGGGAAGCCTGCTTCTCCCACTCCCACTCCCCCTGCTTGTGTTTTTCCCTCTCTCGCTGTCAAATAAAAATAAATAAATAAATAAAAAATCTTAAAAAAAAAAAAAGAGATCTCCCAGAAATCTCACCGTGGGAGAATGTACAGAAGAGATGAGAACCAAAGACAGAAGCCCTAAGAGAGCACAATAAGGGATAAGCAAAGGGGCAAAGAGCCTGTAAGGAAAACTAAGGAGAGGCCAGAGAGATAAGAGAAAAAAACAGGAAAGATCCCTGTAACATCAGAGATCTGGTAAGATGCAACTGAGATATTTTACTGTTGGCAGTTAGGAATTTGTTCTGCCTTTAAGGAATACAATTTCTGACTTGGAGACCTTTCCCAAACTAAGTCCACACCAGAATAAAAATTAAGGTACACACTTCTAAATAACTGTCTTTCCGGTATTGAAGGTCATCATCATTATTTTCATCTCGGACAAATCCAAGCAATGCCAGACTAATAATAACAGTTCAATTTGAATAACTTCAACCCAGACATGATAGTCTTAGAGGAACTGATTCATAACTAAAGGATCTGAATTCATGTTCCAACTGGCCAAAATCCTCTCCCATAAACAAGGTCAGGTGCAGAAGTGGCCTTTCCCTATGGGAATACATAGTCTTACTCTCTGATCTTTAGTAGAGGCCCAGGGCAGTCCCATATAACCCATTGGCTTTAAGCACATCCTGAGAATGTTTTCCCCAGCAGAATGTGAGTGCCCCAATCTTATCCCCCTGGGCTAAATGAACGGCCATCATTTATTAACTATGAGTGAGCATGAAGCTGCAGGTTCAACTAAAACCAAACTCTTTGCTAGATGGGATACTTTCCTTTTACTGCATTCCAATGCTTTAGGGAATTTGGGGCTTCACACTTACATCACCAAAATTCACCTACCAACCAAAACCCAACAGACAAATATCAGTGAGTGTGTGGGGTTTTATGGCTTAATCAGAATCAGAAAGGGGGACCATCACTGTAATGAAGTCCAATAAAAGCCTCATATATAAAATCAAAAGAAAGCCAAGAACTTTAATATACCCAAGCTCACACCTGTCCATGGAATAATAATAATAATGATAATAATAATACTGTATTCCATTTTTCACCATTTGGAAGAAAAACCTATAAAATTTTAGAACTCCAAGCAAAGCTCTCTTTCCTTTAACTTTTGAGTTTCTGAACAAATTTGTTTACTGAACAATGCTTAAGCATGTAAAACTACCTATCCCCCCACTCTCACATTTTTAATTTCTAACAAGATAACTTGAAACCAGCTTAGATAGATTTACCTGCAAAAAAATATGAATTATGGGGTGCCTGGGTGGCTCAGTCGGTTAAGCGTCTGCCTTCGGCTCGGGTCATGATCTCAGGGTCCTGGGATCCAGCCCCGCAGAGCGGGGAGCCCGCTTCTCTTTCTCCCACTCCCCCTGCTTGTGCTCCCTCTCTCGCTGTGTCTCTCTCTGTCAAATAAATAAATAAAATCTTTAAAAATATATGTATGAATTATAAGCCACAGCTGCCGGCTGACACCTGCTTCTGGCTACTTCCTGCTCTAAAATGGCTGACTGAAAGGGAAGTGTAGCAGGAATTCATAGTTAAGGGTCAATTCATGGACTCAGGGCTGCGATGGAAGAATGTACTTCGATAAGAAACAGGAAGATCCTTGCACTCGGCCATTTAGAAAGCGTCTCGGTGGTAGCCTAGATAGTAATTAATTCACAGATCCAGGTGCTGTATGTATGTTGTAGATGTTCAGGGAGAGCATGTCAGGACAACTTGAGAGCAGGAGTCTGCAGCCACATGGCAGGTCAGAGTGCCTTTTAAGAAAAAAAAAAAGTGCCTTTTAAGAAAAATAAAAATGGACCCTGAGCATTTCACACAGTCAAATGTTTGCACTAGAATTAGAGACCAAACAGACATCTGTCTCTTCACATAAATGTATTAACATGCCCAAGATTTAAACACCTCAAGATTAAAATAGTTCAACAATCTATTTTCCAATGTGTCACCTTTATCCTACCTTCAAAACTGCAAGAGGATAATCTGCTTCCTGTGTAATCTGTGTTAAAAACGGGAAATTATCTGATTTTTACCACACAGTTGCCCATTCAGATTCTTCCTTTAACTGCTTTGTATTACTCTGCCTAGAACAGTCCAGCGGGACCTTGACTGCCATGTTTTAAGCAAAAGCTGGGACAATAAAAATAGGTCATGTGTGGGGACAGTTGATTGACCTCATTGCAGACTGACTTGGGGTGTGTTCAGAGGTTCGTAAATGCACCCCCAGCCCCACTGAATATGGAGTCCTTCATACTGTCAGAATAATCAGAAAAATCCATCTTGTGAAATGTCAGCATGCTCAAAGGCTCTATGGGCAGAGTCTTCCACTTTTCTAAATTACTGCAGGTATATGTGTACATTTGCACAGCCTGATGTTGAACATACTCTAAGCTACAGCTGGGGAAGCAGAAACACGTGTGCGGCCTCGCGGAGCTGCGATGGTATCCTTCCAGCTCTGGGAACCCAAGGGGGCCGTCCTTCACCGCGCTCCGGGGCCCAAGAGGTCACTGCAAAGCATCAGGAGACCCTGAAGAGGGTAAATTCTCCCTTTCCTCCGGAGGGAAATCACATTGAATGGGAAGCATCCTGATCCCCTCTGAATTTGATGTTTAACGTGAAAAAGGAAAGGGAGGGGAGGCTCTGAAAAAGAGATCTTGCAAAACTTCTGAACAAATTTCCTTGGACTGCTCTCTGCCCAAGCTCAGAAGGCACCAAAAGGGTACAAGGGGTCCCTACTGGAAGGGTGGCTTACCAAACACAGCAGGCTCACTTCCAGCACTTACATTTAAAAAAAAAAAAAGGAGGCGCTTAGGCAGAACTGACCAGACCCATTAGCATCTCCGGGTCTCTCACTGACAGTGCAACAAGGGGGAATAGCAACAGTTAAAAGAGCGGACTACCTTAAGTAAATGAAAAAGCGCATTTCCATATTTTTAAACAAAGGGGTTCTGCACCATCTGTCCCTGTCTGGGTGCCCCCTGCTCCACACTGAGCGGATTTGTGAGGGATTCAAGTGCACCTTATAGATTAAATAGTCACTCGGCTGCTTAAGCCCAGTTGCCCAGACAATGGCCGCGCAGAGCACCCCTTCCTCCTTCCTTCCTGTCGAGTGTTCTGCCTGACTACACAAACTAAATGCGCGCGGCTCCCCCGTTGCAAGAAGTGGACTTGACCGGAGCTAAAACCAACAAAGGCAGATTCTGGTGGGAGCTGCGGAAGCGCCGGGCACTGAGTCAACAAGCGGGTCTCATTGAAATGCAAATAGCGCGGCCGCGGCCCCGGCGCGCCACCTCCCGCCCCTTAACTTCTCAACCCCCGCGCCGCGCCGGCCTGAATGGGCCCATTGACGCGCGCCGGCGGTCCCCACCGCGCCGCGCCCGGCTGCCGCGGGGACGCCTGCAGCCGCGGAGCCCGCCCAGCCGCCGGGGCGCGCGGGCCTTGCGGGCTCCGGTCGGGGTAGGGATTGCTGTCAATCACCGTCACCTCCTGTTCGTCCTCCCCACCGCGCTCCCTCAGCGCTAAGGAGGCGGACAGAGCCTTCCTCACACGCAGGTTGCCCCGATTTCTGGCCGAGGAACAGGAAAACTCACCCCGCTGCTGAGTTTAAAACAAACAAACAAACAAACAAACAAACAGAAGTTCCAAAGTTCCACAGTGGCGGTTAGCCTCCCCCCGCCAAGTATTTACTCACTTAACCTTAAGTATTTACTCATTTAAATCCTGCTCTCTTTCTTTCATCCAGAAAGAACTAGACTTAAATGTTTTTCAGGTGCCGAATACTTGTAGCTTCGAAGCAAGTTCTCCCTGATGCTCTGTAAATGCTTAAGTAAAAACAAATCCCATTTGGCATTTGGATACTGCCCGCCCTCTCTCCCCACTCCCCTAGCCTTTGTTTTACTTTGACTAGATAATATTATCAGCTTGTTGTTGATTTTGCGCTTTCCCTAAAGTTTAAAGTTAATGCAAGCACTGTTAAAACTTCTACAGAATTTAAAGGGGCGGGGGAGGCGGGGGGTAAAGGTAAGTTTTTACAGAAATACAAGGCTAATTCAATTTTTTTTCTTTTTTAGCAAACTATGAGCTACTAGCAATAATTTTTTTAAAAAGCTAAATGGTACTTAAAGATCACCTGAAAACATAAGTTGACTTTCTACAGCATATATATTTGGTTGCTGTATCAGACTCCAAGGAAATGAGGATTGATATACATTTAACAAATATAATGAAGGAAATATTTATTTTTAAATCCTTTAATTTTGTAAGGTTACCAGAGTATAATTATATTTGAACATATAATAGATGTGTAATTGACTTAAGTACACAAACTATTTTGCTAAAAAGCAACTAAAGGAAGATTTACATTCTACCATTTTTGATTTTTAAATTATTTGGTAAAGCAAAGTAGAATTTCATTTAAAAAGAAAAAAGAAATTTCATAGTTGCCAACTTAGAATGTTTTCTGATTTTTGAAGAACAGCTCTCTTCTGTCCTTTTTCTTTTCTTTTTGGTTTTGGTTTTGGTTTTGGTAGTGCCTCCCTACCCACCTACCCAGCACACACCCAAACACACGCCAAACAAACATAGTTTTTGGCCTATTTAATAAGGGATCAATATTGTTGGATTGGATTGACCTGAGTCGACAAATTGAAATGGAGTTGAGTTGGATCTACAAAACGAGACATTCAGAATTACACTATTGGCCTTAGTAATGGCATTTCTTCTGTAGTGTATATCTGATGCTTTTGCTTGCCCAGGGTCCATTTTTCCTTAGTGCAGAAACAGCACCAGATTTTCATCCAGAAGACTACCCTCCCCTACTCCTGGTCCAAGTGGTTCACATCCATGGCTCCAAAGCCACAGCTAGTCCATAGGATGCATTTGTGCAAATTTTAAAAATACACCCCTTCCTCCAGGCAGATGAAGCCCTTTTGCAGCAAATACCCAGGTCTGCACTGTCCTGTCAGCCAGAAGCTTTGTGCAGTTCAGTTATACTCAGCTCTTCCTCTTTCCAGCCGTATACTCATACCGGCAAATCAGCCCATTCAATGTCTTAGGCCACAGTGAAGAGTTTCAAGAGCAGGTGTGTGAACCAAGTTGAACTCAGGAAAGTTAGCCAGAGAAACTTCGCTGTAATTATTAGAAAAGAGGCATTAAAAATTTCTGGTGTCATTGATTAAATGGTGGCATATAGACTTGGAGCTGCACGTGACTCTCACTGCCATCAGTGGGGAAGAGTTGGCCAAAAGCAAGAGACAGAATCAGAGTGAGAGATTATTAATCCTATCCTATGAGCAGCTGGATTCAGCCATGTCTGAATCAATCACCTCTTCAATTACATGAGCCAATAAATTCCTTCTTTCGAATAAACCAGTTTAATGATTTTCTGTCATTTGCAATCCAAAAGAATCTTGACCAACACGATTGCCACAATGGGAAGAGGTAAATCTCACAGTAGATATTATGCAAGCGAATTTATTTTGGGTTTTGATATCAGCACAGTTCATAATTCTTTCCGTAACAGGTAAATCATTATAAGTTAACTTTAGGAACAGCCATTCCACTTCCCCTACCTTTTCTTCTTCAATATATAATACTTTAAAAGACATGAATGGATCTTTATTTTCTTTGGGGGTCTGAAAATATTTCTGTTGGCCATGCCCATTGTTTAGTACAGTTAGAGTACTAAATGGGGGTTTAGGTAGGAAGGTTGGAAACTATCCAAGGGGCTAATCCTCTTAACCTTTTTAATTTTGATTATTAGAAGATATATGACACATTGAAATTAGCTTTAAAAAATCTTTTCACACCTATTGAGAACCTTAATAAATTTGTAATAACTACATCAATAAAAGAACAGATAACATAGGTTGCAAGAACTTACAAAATGATAATTACTAGATAACAAACAGTCAAACTTCACTTACATAAAATTATACCAAACTAAGCACATTTCTCATTTGATAACCAATGCAATGATTTGTTCTTTGTTCCCAGAAATATTCACGTGGATGAAATAAGATGAATCATTTGTCAGGGATGTAGTAGAAAGAATTCTGCCTTGCAATAAGAAGTTAGACTGGTTTTAGGTTCCTTTTAATTTTTATATCCTGATTTTTATGATTCAAACTTTTTAGATGTAGCAGACATGAACTTGTCCCCAAATTAATTACTATCTTATCTATTTAGGATATTATCATCCCCCCCACACACTTATCATTCATTCACGATTATCATTACATTACTTTGAATTGTGCTCATTTGAACCTGAAAAACTTAAATCTTGTTTTCAGAAAAGTATAACCACCTGAATTGTTTCCAGTCTTAGCCCAGAGCTAAGTTCCTGTTGCTGTTTTTTATTTAAAAATCTAAGAACAGAGGATTTAGATATGAATGAAAATTAAGAGAAACTGCAATTCATTTTTTCTAGTTCCTGTTCTTTGTTATTCTTGGCTCTACCATTGTCATACCTTAGAAGATTGAGGGAAGGAAAATGCCATTAGTTCTTTGTTTTGTAAATATTGACTTCTTTTCCTTCCTTGCAGTAATGTTTAACACATCTGCTTTCTATTTTTATATTATAATTCCAGTACATTGTGGATAGCTCCACTCTTCCTGTAAAATTCCTTATTTATAAGAAGAAATGACCCACAGCTAGTTCAGCCTTCTTGACTCCTACCTGACCTGCCTATGCTAACTGCTAAGTTTAATCAAATGGAGGAAAGGGTCAGGAGTTTGACAGCTCCTTTAACAAGTGTGA